AATAACAAGAAAAGTCTCAACTCAGAGATTGCTTGGTGATAATATAAAAGACTCCTTCAGAGATGTAAGGCAAATTTTTTGCTGAAGCCCAAATCTATGGACTGCTCCTCCCAAGGAAAATGCCTCTGTGTATAGGCACAGAAAACTTTCCATGAAATTCCAGGGGGAACTAGTCCATGGAGACCAGCCTCGGGGAGCTGCCATATGGATCAGAAGGTCTGGAGGTCAGGGCCAGGACTTGTGCTGCACTTGCCCGACTCTGAGAGTGAGTCCATCTTTAAAGTTTGCACACTAAGCGCTTCTCCTGCCTCACCCTTGTCCCAGCCCTGCTGAAGACAAAGGGTTACAGCTACATGCAAAAGAAATACATACCCGGTCACATATGTCATTTGCTATTCCATCAGAATCTGATTGAAATAACATCTAAAAGCCAGATGCCTGCATGTTAAAACCCTCCTTCAATCCCCTTGTCCTAAGGGTTAAAATAGACCCAGCAACACTGAACGAGATGTGTCTAAGGCCAATCTTGACCTTGTTCATCCAGAAAATATTCTTCTATGAGTTTGAAACGATCACAGCAAGCGTGCTCTCAGGTCCTCACCACACACATGTGGGCATGACGCAGAACTGGCAGTTCCTTGCTGGCTCTGTGAAAGACCTATAGTGAGACTGGGCATCTGCATCCTGACAGGCAGAACTTTAACACCAGGGATTACATTGCCAATGAAGATTTCTAATAACCAAGCACTAGAACATTCAAAAATCTCAAGCTTGGCATAGGATCTGAGCACATCCTATTTTCTCTTCTCACTCAGTGTTTCCGCTTTTTCTTGCTTTCATAGTTGGCACTCATAGTAGTATTTCGAGTGTATGGACTTGACCTCGCAGGCAACTGACTTTCTCAAACTTCTCAGCTGGAGAAACCAAACTGGCAAAAAGTTACCTGCCACCTCCACCCTTTTAGCTTTCCTAACGAGGCAGTATCCCGTCCTCTTCTTAAAATAGTCCTTTCTGGGATTGTGGCTCCATGACCAGACTAATAATTAAACTCTAAACTCCCAAAATCCATAACTACAGCCCCCTTCTTTAGCTTTCCCAGAGAAAACAAAAAGTGGAAGGAACCCCTGCTGCTGAGGCTGGGGGAGCATCTTGGAATGGGGGCCAGGGAAAAGAGTCTTAGATTTTCTTTCTGGTGTTAGAAACACACAAGAAATTTGGGAGCCACAAAGGTGGCAAGTGGCATGATCTTGCTGCTCCTAGGGAATGGAAAAAGTGAGGGTGAAAGGGTTACTCATGGTACACGTTTTTTCCATTGATTATTTTACTTCTTAAAGAGCCGATGTCATTTCCCTGGAAAATCAAGGAGCAGGGAATATTTTCTTTTAAATATCTTCAAACATTTGCAAATGGTTACTCTGAACTCCCCAATGTACCATAAACAAGTGTAAACTGTAGAAATTCAGAAAATGCACAAATACAAACAGCTATCCCCCAAGCTCTAAGGCAAAGACAAAGAAGGGAGTATTCCATTTATAAATGGAATTCTTTGTGGATAGAATAGTTTGGGAAGTGTTTATACATTGTTGTCCTTATTATTTGGGGGGATTTTTTTTTCAGCTTACAGAAGCTGCAGAACTGGTATTTGGCGTCTTAAAAGTTGAAGATTAAAGGAAGTTTCCAACCTTTTAAAATCTTCCACTAAACTTAATTAGCTCTGCATCTTGGAAAATATCTGCCCATTAAAATCATTTGTAATCATATCAACAAACAAGAATGTATAGTCAGGTAACCAGGAACAGAATAACTTCAAAATGGAAAAAGAAACACCCTATAATTTCCTAAGAACTAGCAAAAATGATGACTTCTTTGAAGACAGCTGTAGCTACCTGGATTTTTGATTTCAAGATACAGTGGGCTGTGAATCTATTTTAAATGATTTTTAAAAACAGTGACACAGTATGAAAACGGCGGACATACTAAAAAGAATGAAGAAGCCTGACAGAAGTTACTGACAGACTCTCCTGTAAGAGATAATTGAGTCACCAACAAGCACATGGAGAAAATCCCTCACCGACACCTCACCCACGCCCATGACTCAGTCCAGGTTTGTTTTTTGGCTTTTCATGCTTTCTCCTTTGGCTTTAACGTGTCACCAAACCGCATTCACTGTCAGGGCACAAAAGTCACACAGTCCTTTATTTAATGGATGCATTTCCGGTGTCTGTAACCATATGCATAGGCTGGGTTTCTGAAGGCAGAGAAGAAAAACAGCACCACGTGCGCACCGAAAATCAGGAAGGGTCAGAGGATGTATGTGAATTATGGCAGGTTGAAACTGTGCTGCGAGGTGACATGAAACGACCGAGGGCAAGAGGAAGTGTGATTTAGTGGAGGGGAGGCGTTCTTCCCCTGTCTTAAATCACTTGCCTTGTCACCCCACTGTAGCTGGCAAAGTCTGGGAGTCTCTGGCTTTAGAGAGGAAAGCTGTAATTTCTTGGGGAACCCATCAAAAAAAGAACTTTCCAATCTCAAGGGGCGATAGGCGATTTCGTCATTGTCTTCTGAAATTGTCTGAAGCCAGGTTAATATTTTTAGTAATGACTCTGGTCAACGTGCAAGACCCTCACCTGATTGCCTATTCAGAAACATATATCATCCAAATAGCCGTCCTATATTTCATGCTTTTATGTTCTTTTGGGCCCCTGCTACTTATGGACTAGTGACACTCTTCTTGACCTGGTCACTTTTCACTCCAGTAATGGTAGTAAAATCTTTCACCCTCTCATTTTTCCTTTAATGTCACTTGAATGAGTGATATTAGGATGGGTTTAAAATGACAATTCCCAATGCTTTTCTGGCTTTCTAAAGGCCATCATTTTTTTTCTGTCCCACATCTTCCCATTACTCACTGCTTTGTCAACCAGATTAAATTACTCTGGTGGAGAAAGCAGGGGCATTTTCAATTGTGGTGACTATGAGAAGGCTGAGGCCATCTGTCTTTGGAGAGCAGAACTTGCAGATGTAAAATCAAGGACTGGTGAACTGATTTTTAGTATTCTGCTCCCCCTGACAAAGCCATCAATGGAAAAGGAAGCCTCACGGTATGGCGGCCGAGAAGCCCTTCTTGCACCAACCAGGAGGGCCCCTTGCACTGGCTCTGTGTTTGCCAAGCAAACTTCTGGCTATAAGTTAGGTAGGTACTCCAAGGCAGCAGTAAATACACTGACTTAGGGACAATAATTTGGACACATCACATCAAGTCCACATAGGTCCACACCTGTATTTCCTACTGTGGAGTAATGGGTTGGTATTCTAGGTTTTTGTTGTTGCTGCTGAAACAACAAACAAAAAACACTGTCCCCCACCCCCCACCAAAAAAATCTGAACACAGTCTAAACACTTAGAGAAGTGGATTGGTAGGCTTGGTTCTGTCTAGGAACTTTCGCCAAGACAACTGAGGTGGATAAAATAATTTTATCACCAATTAACCTATTCTTCTATAGTGTTTTAAAGAAAATACAGCCCTGGAGTCAGAAAGTTTAAACTTGAATCTCAACCCTGCTTACTAACTTGGCAATCTTGGGCACGTTACCTAATTCCTATGTCTTAGTTTCCTCTTTAGTAAAATGAAGATAAAAACAATTGCTACACAGGTCGGGATCCAAATTAACACTACTGACAAAGACTTAGAAGAGGACCTGTATGTACCAAAGCAAGCAACTGTTTCTCCTCGAAGGTCCACTTCTCCTACCCAGGCCTCCGTCCTCCCCAGATATACGTCTCCACCAGACTGTAAGTGCCTTGACAGCCTGCCCTCAAGCATCATATTCACCGCTGTATCTCCCCAACTCCTGGAAAGAGCTGTGCACAAGTTATGTGCTCAATAAATGTTCATTTCCCTTCCCTTCCTTTTCATAAACAGTTGACCTCGTGGACAGGGAGAGCAGTCAGGTTTCGGGTCCAGCAGGCCTGAGTTGAATACTGGTTCCCTCACTTATCAGCTCTGATCTGGGTAACATCTCCAAGCCTCATCTTCCTCCTAAGTATGATACAGATGGTGCCTATTCCTTTATGGTTGGCGGAGAATCAAAAGAAGCCATATCTGGCTATAGCAGACAGCTACACAGCCCAGTTCCCCATCTTCCTCTTGCTGAAATTCCGGACTCATTATGTATGGTTCACTTGGCATTAAGCAGGACCACCCACTCCCCCGCAACCTCGTGAGGTCAGGAATGTGCTCTCTCACCTATTTCAGCGATGTGACCCTTTCCTCTGTCAAAGCCTCCCACTGCCTGCAGAGGTGAGCAACCCACCAACTGAGCCACTAGCCCAAAAGGGGAGAAAGCAAAGCTGGTCAGTGATTCTTGAGACCTGCCCTGGGGAATGCTACTTGGTGAAAAATGAAGGAAGAGACCCCATGAACAAGAGCTGCTCAAACATCTTGCCAGGCAAATGGGGCTCTGTGGCCTGGGTTCAACTGGCATTAGCATGTAGGAAGGTTAGTTTTTATTCTCATCTTACAAACGGAATCCCCTGGTTATTGAGAACATTTAGTGAGCTGGGACATTCTGCCAGTGAGTCTACCAGCTCCAAGAAGTGGCTCAGCTCACCTTTTACTACAGCCCTGTAACCTCATATTGGTCTCAAGTTCTCTCTTCTTCCTCCCTCCCATTCTCTTCTACGTCTGAAGTGTGAATTAGAGATGAGCCTAATGATAAAAGTATAAATAAGTACATAGTGTTTCAAGTCAGGCTCAAGACTGAGCTTTACCATTAAAGTAAGTGACCTTCGGCATGGCACTTACATGCTGTGACTCAGTTTCCTCAGCTGTAAAATGGGAATGATGTTGGATCAAAATGATGAAAGTATGTAACCACACGAAGTGTGCTGCAAAACATGTAAGGTAAAACCATGGTCATCAGTACAACTCTAGCCTCTGCCTTGTAAGAAGTAAGGAGAGGTGCAACGAGTCGGAGAAGAGCCCTGGTGGGCATACAAACCTTTTACTTATTCTGATTTCTAATTCGGAGGCACCTCCTTTTGAGTGGAGGCTCCAGGTCCTCGGGCCCGGCGCTGAGCATGGGCGAGGAGATGATGCACGGCGCCATGGCAGTCTTCTCCGCGGGTTTTGGCACAGGCTGGATCACGCAGCCCGTCTTGGGCAGCATCCGCAGAGCATACGCGTGGTCCTCGTCCGCGGGGTTATTAAGGTTCGGGTCTGACTTGTCGCCCCCCGCCAGAGCCTCCTCCCCTATCAGCTTTTTGGCCGCCTCCCCGTCCAGGTGGCAGTTGGAAGCACAGTTGTTCTCCTTGACGGACTCCAGCTCGCTCACCGCGGGCTCCTCCGGCGACAGC